AAGTGCATCGCTAGTAGTAACAAGTGCCTTACTAGTAGTAACAAGAATAATTTAACTATAATTGGGAAGCCTCTCAGCCACGTGTCTGCCGTTTTTCCCACCTCTCCAGCAGTGGCTAGGCTAGCCGCTCGACGATCTTCGGCCAAGATCGCCACTGCCCAGGTGATGATGAGAGGCCGCCCTTTTCGGATTGTGGAAGCAGCCCATTCTGCGCCCAGCAAGCATGGCCATGCGAAGGTTCACATGGTTGGCCTAGTGCCTTTGGCCTAAAGAGAGGTCGCATTTGGGACACCCTTCTTGTTTCAGATGTGCAAGTCAGTAGATCCAGAAATAGATACTGATACGTGCGACATCTTGCCACGATTAACACTCTTGGCAGATCTTGGCAGAAAGGGGGCCTCAAGATGTCCGCCCCCCCCTGGTCAGCTTGCCTTGGTTGGTTCCTTTGCCTCTTCATGTGAACTCAGGACCTCTTTACGGGGAAGAAGTATGAAGAGATCCACCAAGCAGGCCAAAACGTGGAGGCTGTGGCCTGTGCATGGCTTTCTGCCGGTTTGTCGCGTTCGTCCGACGTAAAAGCGCCAACGGTTGTGGTGCCCTTCCTTGGAACGGTCGTAGCGGATCTAGGTCCCCGTCAGGAAGGACTTCGGAAGGAAAATGCCTTCAGTATTTCAGTTGAGCGGTTTGAGGATGTCGCCCAAGTGGTCCAAGTGGTCCATGCTGCCCTTGGTGCTCTGTGCAGTCTAACACGAGGCGTATCACCTGATCACCTGACGGTGACCAGGTGCCCGTGGTCACCAAGACGGAGTATCTCCTGGTGAACCTGAACGAGGAGACCGGCGCCCGGGGACTCAGCAGGTCCTGACTCTGAAACTAAGAGAATAGATGCAAGAGCCGAAGCTACTGAAGGCATCTGAAGCTGGAAAGAACCTAATTAACTTGAGCCAAGTCAGTCATTATCCAAGTCGGCACACCCAAGTCGCTTTCACATGATAGGCTCTCCCTTGGTCTCTTTTGCGGTGTTTGGCCTTTGGATCCGGTGAGAGCCTGGTTTTTCAAAAGGTCGTGGAAAAACTCTGGAGCATTTCCGAGACTCCATGGGTATATATGCCGATCAGTTGGGGTGGTTTGAGGGGTTAATTGATCGGCATATATGGCATGCATGGAGTGTTTGGAGCATTTGTGGCTTTGAAGCCGAGTTCTTCGATCACTCTCGCCTTCCATGGCACTTCTGTCCATCGTTGGACGAACCGGGCACAAACTTAGACTTAGACCACCGGGCATCCTTGGACGTTTGGTGCCTGAAGCCTCAAAGGGGGACAGAACTTTTAACAGGTTTCGGATCTAGGACAAACACAGGGCCCTGAAAATCCCCCGACCAGGGACGGCAAGCAAAAAGAAAGGGCAGGAGCCGGACGGCAGGCCCCTAACATGGGCCTTCCGAAGCTGCCAGCCCGAGGCAGTTTGGCGCTCAGAGGGTTGGCGGTGGTTTGTTCCGCCGTGGCCTAGGAAGTGAGCCTCCTTCAAGACAATGGCGAGCTGAAGGTCGATCTCAACTTGCCCGCGCATCGGCACAAGATGCTTGGCGGGAAGGTCGCGGCAGAGGGTCGCGGCGACATATCCCACAGTTCTTCTTTTCCAGGCGGTTGAGCCAGTGCCCGGGAGTTTGGCATGAGCATCAAGAGCTGCTCCAACTGAATCTTCTTCTCCTTGGCGGTCGATGTGTGCTTCCACCTTGCATGCGGGTTCTCACCATGTCACCATGAGCATCCATGTGCCGTGTATGCATTGCGATGACGATCGGGTAAATCTGGGGATCACCGACCTCTGAGGACTTCGGAGGATGACGTCAAGGTTGAGGCGCGGCTTGAAGGAAGTCGGGGCAGATGGGACACGCGTGGCATGTTGGTTGAGAGATCGAGGTTTTGGGGCGCGTGAGCTTTGGATTTGCTTTCAGCTGGTGCTGTGGTGCATGGAGCCGCACACGCGACAGCTTGCGACAGCCCCCCCATCTTCGCACGCATCATAGTCTTCAATGCCCTCAAGTCAGGTTAAAACATTCTTAGTTGTTGAGGCCAAAGACCTTGACAGGGCCGAAAAGGGGAGGTAGTTGTTCTTCTTCTTTCTTCTTCATCTTCAGGCCGACATCATGAAGGCCTTCAGCAGCGATCGTTTTGTCGTGGCTTGGCGTGAAATTGACATCACGCGCCGACGGGGGACGGAGGACGATGGCGGTAGATGAACGGCTTGCCGTACTTCACAAGTGGAAATCGAAAAGACCACGGTCTGCACCAAACGCACCGAACTCCTCATCCGCAGATGTTTTGTTGTGGGTGGCCGCTCCACAATCCCCTTTTCGCCATGTTTAACTTGAGCGAGGATCGATCCAAACTTCAAGTTGAGGCATGAAACTCGGCGGTTTCGCACCAGGGAGGCGCATGGACATTGAAGCCGTCCAAGCTCGGAGCGCTCCAATCGACCCGCCTCAGAACCGCGAGAAATGCCCGGGTTTGCAGTCAGGTCACTGTCGTGGTCATGGCCGCCTGTGGCGAGGAGAAGATCGTCGGCTGCAGTGCTTCCGACTGAGCGGGCGCAGCCGATGTCGTCGCGCAGGGCCCAGGCTTTGGCCGCGCCACTTCCTCGTTGAGGTGTGGAGTATGGTGGAGTGCGGATGTACAGATGTACAGTTATGGGGCCCTGGAAAATGGAAACTCCATCCACGATACAGAGATCTCGCCTGCATGGCTGGCGTGTCTCCCCCCTTTATGACACCATGTCACATAGCTATATCGCTTACTACTTGAGCAACGTGAAGGTTCTTGTGCCTTGTGCGCCTTAAACAGTTGGCCCGAGGCCAAGGTGCAACGTGGGCACCCGTGGGTGTTACAAAATGCCATCCAGCAACCGGAGGAGCTTTGCACGTGTTTTCTTCTTGCGCCAGTAGGAAGGGCTTGTATAGGGATTTTTTGAAGGGGAGGTCGGGAGGTCAATCAAGGGCGGCACAAGGGCCTTGTAACGGCTTGTGAGTCACCTGCCGGTCGGCGAGGATCTGGAGCATCGTCCCCACTGTTTGGTCAACGTCGAGGCCTGGCCTGATGACCTGCTCATGGAGGAGAAATCAGATGAACCAAGTCAGCCAAGTCTTCCAAGTGAATGCCCAGGCAGCCTGCCTTTGGTCAGGAACGTTGAGTTGATCAGCACCGAAAACAACAACCCCAAATAATCGCAAGCAATTGCTTAGGTCACCACATTACACCCCCTCCATTGCAGAGGTCGAGCGCTCCGTAGCAAAGGTCCGGACCCTCAAAACATCTCAGAACGCCTCTACTTGATGGTATTCTTCATATAAAACCAGAGAATCCAGAAGCAGATGGAAGATAGTGAGTGATAAAGCCCTTTCTTTTTAAAGGGCCGGATTCTTTAGGTTGGTGGATTTTTTTCCTCGGACGCCTATCTTTTGAAATGATTCTTCGCTGATCGTCACTCCGACTGTCGACTCCCAGCCCGACTGCTGACTCGCCAGGCCTCCGACGGAGAAGTCTTGGGCGTGGCGCTCTACAACAGGCGGGTTCACTCCATCAGGGGCGATAGGTGAGGGGCGAAGGATGGAGGGGCGGGCGGAGGCCGCCAGCGCGGCCTGGGAGGACGGCTGTTGGAGCTGCGGCCGGGGATTGTTTGGCAGACAGACTTCCTCGGATCATGTAGTGGTGCCTCCCGGGCGGCCTAAATTGGTTGCCGCGAAGCGTTAGTTTTCAGCGAAGCCTTTGGATGTTTGGGAACACTGATGGCCGAATGACCCTTCTCATCCATTCCCAACGTCCAGGGTTTTCAAGGCGTTGCCTCAGGTGGGGCGTGTTTCTCGGGGTGTGGTGAGGTGATCACACCGATCCCCCAAGCGGACCAACTTCTGATCATCCTCGATTCTCTGAAAAGCGATCTTCAGCTGTGGTGGTATCTACACCCTGGTGTCGACGATCCCATGATCCCTGGGTTTACCACTGGTTGGTAGAGGAGCCTACACTCGGACCCAGGGGGCCGGACAGGGTCTATGTGAGTTGTTTTCGGGAGTGTAATGGTCTCTGAGGGTCTCTTCAACTGGAGGCGCCGACCGGACCCGATGCGTGACGGGGACACCGGTTACGACGCTGTTCGCGGACGCGACCGCGGGCGCGGCCTGGTGAGGAACAGCTCCATTGCTCTGAGGATCCTGAGCAGGACCGCCTATGTGCCTTGGAAGTGTGAGTGAGATGTTCGATCTTTTTGATGGAAGAAGCTCCATGGGTGAGGATTCAGTGAGGATGGTGAGGATTCAGTGAGGATGGACTCCAAGTTGCCGGACTCAAAGTGAGGGTGATCTCGACATGTCACACTTTTTTCTATCCATCCACCTGTCAGATTGCAACACCCGAGTTGCTTGGGGACGTCTGGTCAGGTGCGGGTAGATGCTGGTTTCTTCGCCCAGCGTCTTTCAGCCGCCCTGCAGTACCGGGAGAGGCACCAGGGAGATGGCTTCTTGTTACTAGTAGTAAGGTACTTGTTACTAGAAGCGATGCACTTGTTCCTAGTAGCTTCTTGTTACTACTAGTAAGGCACTTGTTACTAGAAGCGATGCACTTGTTCCTAGTAGCTTCTTGTTACTACTAGTAAGGCACTTGTTCCTAGTAGCTTCAGTTTGTCTTCTTTCTCACTCGCGTCACTCGCGTCAAGTCGATGCTGGTGCCAAGTCGATGCGCAAAGTCCGTGCTTCCGCGCCCTGCCGCGTTGGCTCCAAACCGACCGCGAGCGGCGCGCGCGAGCTGCGCGCACGGGCGCGGGGCGCCATGTCCCGTTCGGGCGCTCTGCGTGCCCTGCTGCGGCGATCGCTTGGAGTTGTGGCGCCGGTCGGGGCCGCCGGGGGCGCATGGCTTTGGGCCAGGCCAGTGACTTGGCTCTTGCGAAAAGGCTTTGGGACATTGGATTTCATATGATTTCATACATCGTTTCGGCTTCTTCTCAGATTTCTTTCAGCATGGAGTAGCACCAATCTTTGCTTCAGGATTCCAACAGATTTCCCTCCGAAGCCAGCAGCCACGCCGAGGAGTGCGGCTGCAAGGCTGCGCCGCGCAAACGGGTGGCCATCTACGGAGGGACCTTCGATCCGCCCACGAACTCGCACATGACGTGTGCCGGCGAGAAACCCGGGCAGCAATGTGGAGCCCATACATGTGGAAGAAACAGGGCTGGAGCTGCAGTACCCGGCAGTATGCCCCGCTTAATTTTGAATTTAAGCTGAACTGATGATGTGAGTTCTGGAGCAGGGCGATTTGTGTTTCATTTTCTCACCATCTTTGAGGGTTTCAACTCCATCAAAGGGTGTGTTCAAACACGACCCAGTTGTAGAAACATGTGTAGAAACATCCGAGAAGTCGGAAGAAGCCAAATCGACCCTGGAGTGTGTCCCAATGCAGGTTTTCCCCTCCGTTTCACTCATCTGACGTGACAGGCAACCAATGTTCACATGTCCCACCAAACGAAACGTGCCGTTTTTGTTCCCCCGCCCGCGAGTTGTGGACATGAAAGCTTCATCCTCAGGATCATCCACAGCGGCAGCGCCGATGAAGTGTGGCTCATCCCCTGTGGCCCTCGGCCGGACAAACCCCACTTGCAGACCACGCCTCTGGACCGCTACTGCATGTGCCTCTTGGGCGGCTTAAGGACGGTGCAGCACAAGTGGTGGACAGAAGGTCTAAGAGCCCAGAGGTCGGATAATGACATCTGGACCCCAGAATGATCCCACAAGCATTTCAACAATATGTATCAATTATGTATCAATATGTCAGCTATATCAATATATATCTGAATCTGATTTGGTTCTGCCATCCCTGCCATCCACCCCCTTCACCTCACCGACCTCACCTATCCACCCACCTATCCCCCTCACCTCCCCTTCTCAGCTCCCCTTCACTGGTCACACCGTGGAGACCCCTCCACCCCACCCCGCCCCGCTCACATGGGGATTTCAGGTCAGATCGCGGTGAACAGCTCCTTCTCTCCGAGCTTCCCGGTGCAGGTGAGCGACTTGGAGACCTTCCGAGAGACCGCGTTCTACACCTATGTGCCTTTGATGCGATTACGGACATATCTCCACCAAGGGGTTGGGCCAATGGAATCACAGGGAGAAAATGGGAGAGGGGGATGATGACGTCAGGGACTACGGCGCGGGGACTACGTCGGACGTAGGGGTTTGAGAAAGGGGACATGGAGGGGATGGGGCACGTGTTGGTAGCAGATGACAAGTCATGCCGGGGCAGCACGATAAAAAACAAAATAACCAATTAGCTTTTGCGTGTTCCCCCAGCACTAGTCTTATGACACCGATGGCCCCCCTCAAACGGTGTTTTTTTGTGGATGTAGACCGGGCGAGCAAAACCTGAGGACTTGCTGCAGTCCTTGCGTGAACAATACCCCGAGATCGACTTCGCCTTCGTGATTGGCAGCGATTGGCTGCAGGCGAAGAGCAACATCACCCAGTGGAGGTCGAAGAACCCCCACTGGAAGCCTGGCATGCCGGAAGAACAGAAGCTCATCGTCACCGGAGACTTGGCATGACCTGGTGGTAAAATCTTGTAAAAAGGAAGTGGGCAGCTCAAAAAGAAAGCTGGAGGAAGGTGCCATGCAAGCAGGATCTGATGGAATCACAGGCCCTCAGGTAGTTCAAAACCAGAGACAACACCTGCCAGTGGATGATGCAAATGTGCATCGGTCCCGTCTCTGACTCTCATCCCTTTTCCCTGTGGTTTTTGCAGAAGGCAGTGATCAAACTCCCATGCCGGATGTCGTGCGCTAGGGTGTGCAGACGTAGATATGGAAGACACATTGAAAGTCAGTCTAGTCATGATATTCAGCGCCAGAAAAACGCAGGGAACAGGATGCAATTAGTCCTCCAGCCTTCAGGCGATCAGCTGCTAAAGGACTTCGACTTCCTGGTTATTCCCAGGCACGATGCGAGTACAAAGGGCACCAATTCGGCACATTTCGCCCACCAGTCCGTAGCCGGTCGTCCGGGTTTTTCATCAGTGACCGTTCGCATCCCATTCCACCATCAACCCCGAGCTTGCTCGCTCAAGAGCTCAGTTCTGCTGCCGCTCCGGCTTCCCGCAGCACGACGAGAACGGAAACGGCACCGGTGCGGACCGAGTGTCGCGTCAGGCCCGGCTTCAATGTGGAGTCCACACCCGAAGACCCCAGCGGCCTCCAACGCTATGGCCCGCGGCTGCGGTGGATGCAGATGCCTGAGGACGAGAGAGAAAACCATGCAAAAAAAGGAACACAAACACAGAAAGAGAGAAAGAACACAGGCTTTAGAATGAGAGATGCATGGAACCAAAACAATGGTCTATATGTTTTTTTGTGTATGTTTTCTTTTTTGTACATGAAGGGGGATGTGATGGGATGGGGAGATGGGTATGTGAGGAAGAGAGAGGATGGACGATGGAGTCAATCACATCACCATGCAAGTTCCCACAAAACGCGGTGAATTGCCAGACAAGGCTCTGAGATGGATGGGCAAGAAGATGTACACAGTCAGTTCTCCTTGCAAAAGAAAAGGTCAGAGAAAAAAAGGATGGACATGCTGAGACATCCAAAGCCTCGAGCCGCCGAGGATGAACCAGGAGGTGGGGAGTAGGGCGGGGTGACGGTGGCCGACTTCGCTTGGAGCGCCCTCCGCCCTCCGCCCTCCGCGGCGAGGACTTCGCGCTGATCCGTGGGAACTTGTCGGCCACCGAGATCCGGCAGCGCGCCGCGGCGGAGCAGAGCCGGGGGGGAAAGCTCACGGCCATCCAAGGCGAGGTAGGGTGGTGTTCGGACGTGAAACGGCCAGAAGAGGACGGAACTGGGTGAAGGCACCACGTGAGGTGTTCATGTTCCTTCAAGGTGTTCAAGATTGTTCAAGTTCTTTTTTTTTGAAACCATGAGTGAAGCCTTTTTGAAACATACGGCCTCCATGGAAGTGGCCTTATGGCACCTTGCAGCCTCGGGATGCCATAGTTTAAACTTTTAAAGACATTGAGAGGAGAGGTGGAAGGAGGTTGAGGGGAAAGGCCAATTGGATGGTAAGACAGCCCGATGTTTGACACGTCTTTCCCAGAAAATTGGTCAGTTTCAGGGAAAATCTACATGCTTATCATGCTTTCACTCTCTCCTGTAGATTTTCCCTTAACCATTTCTGGGATTCTTGCCGGTAGAGTGGTGTAACAAGAAGCTACTAGTATAGGCTATAGGTCTTAGAAGCTTTCTAGTAACTAGGGGCAACTAGGTTGGAGGCCATCGCTACGAGTAACAAGAAGCTACTAGGCCACATGTCTCATTCCTCCGGCCAGGTCTCATTCCACCGGGCGTGGTGTCCTTCATCCGACGCAAGGAGCTCTACTACCGGAAGTGAGGGCGGCCTCCGGTAGAGCTTCCGGTGGTGCGGGGAGACCCAAGACAAACACTCATTTGAAGATGCTTTTCCTTCATGCCTCGCCCTGCACCTGTGCATGGCCCTTCGCTATGTGGCCAAAGCTAGATCCAAACACCAGACGCAAGTCGAACTAGGCCCCACCTGTCACATTTGTCAAGCATGCCTTGAGAATGCGGAGGTAGGGAGTCCGCGCACAAAGGGCGAACCCTTCAAGTCTTTCGTGTCCTTTGGATGCAACGGGCTCTGTCCGACCCCCCCGCTTTTCGAAGATTTTCGTCGCTGGACGTTGGGCCAAACAGCGCGCAGCGCAGCGCCGAGCTTGGGCGCGCGCGGGCCAGCTGCGCGGAAGGGGCGAGCTCGCTGCGGTGGATCGACGCGCGTCGCCGAGTCGCGGAGAACTTGGAGTTGGTTTCATGACAGGGAGTTCATTTTCGCAGAACTTGGAGTTGATGACAGCACCGATTTTAGCGCAGATTCGGGTTGCAGGGCCTTATGATGAACCAAAATTCTTGAATAGACTCAGTAGACCCAACAGGAGCAGCTTTCCTGGTCAGGATCGTTGATGAAGTGGACGTGCCGGACGGATTTCAACGCCTCCAATCACACCGCATTTTTCCAATGTTCTTCATTCTCCGGGTTTGATGACAGTTGAGAGGCACGGTGGGTTTGGATCAGTTGTTGAAACCTCACCTCAGAGGCTTCGTCGGCTTCGCACCACACCTCCACGACCCTTCCTCTTTGACAAAATGGGCCGAGATGGTCTGGCACCCCATTTCTCCGCCAGGCTTTTCGCTGAGCCCTTCTACCGCTTGGCGCACGGAGAGGCCGACCATTTGCCCGGGCTGGTGATTGATCGCGGCTCGGCGGCTTATCAGCTTATCGAGAAGAATCGTAAAGAGCTTGAAGCACCAGAAGCGCCAAAAGCACCAGAAGCAAAGACCACAGCCTCTTCAGACAAGAGATCCTCCCAAGTATTTTGTGGAATCCTCTTGACTCATCACCTTCCCAGAATTCCGAATCCGACCAATCAGAGCTCTGAACTCCATTGAACTGCTCAGCTGTCAGCTCAGCTGTCAGCTCAGAAGCAGCTTTGCTCGGCTTCTGAGGTTATGACGATCATCTTTGTATTCAACCCTTTTCCGGCTTGGACGAGTTGCTGTGGCCCATTGCCGATGCCCTGGACGAGGCGGACCACAAACGGGCGGCCGGGGCTCTGACTGAGTGATCGATGATCGGTTTCTTCCCCTCGAACGGTTGGACTTCAAAACGCCTGTTTTGCTTTCACCGGCGTTGCACGACCTCGTGATGTGCGTCGAAAAGCATGGACTCACACGCGGAAGAGTGTGGACCTATAAGCCTATAATAGAAGACAGATATGATATGATATATATATATATAGACTGTAGAGTCATTCCGATCTTCCCTCAGGGCTACTCCATTCGACCAGGTGACCATCATGGACTCACCGCCATTCTTTCATTGATCGCTGAGCACGCGTGGCCCGTCTCCGCTGCCTTTTGCTTGGGGTGGTGTTGGGCGTAAGGGACCAAGGGGCCAAGCCTCTTTCGCTGTGGTCTTCATGGATTTTCCCCAGCCGACGGGCAACTTGCGGTGCCTTCATGCACGGCGCGCGGCTCGCCCTTGCCCACATTTGGTGTTTGGATGGTCTGGGCTCACCTCCGCTAGCACTCATTCTGCTGGCACTCTGAGGTGCTTGGCGACACTCATGCTAGTTCACCAGCGGCGGGTTGCTCGACGTGTCTGCAAGTCCCACGGCGATGTCTCCACGCACTTGGCCGCCCAGGAGCACTTTGCACACTTCTCTCGTTTGCTGGAAGTGGAACGGAAGTATGAGTTGAAACAGCACTTGGAGCAAAGTGGAAGCTCTCAGAACCAGCCGTTGCGCCCTGTGACCGCCAGAGTTTTAGAAAGAGAGGATGCGCTGATTCGGTTCAGGTTGCCGGACGACACCAAAAGCCAAATTCCGCCACACTTTCAGGAAAGTGTGCACGTCGCAGTGGCTTGGCACGAGTCTGGAGGTCCACTTGGGCAGCAAAATGGTGGCGATGAAGGTGAAGGTCAAAGCAGGCACTTCCCAGAGTTCTTCATCGGTCACATAATTCGTGGAGCGGGGCATGAAGATAGCAGGTTTTTGGATATTAAACTCGACTCGCGGGCATGGCTCACGTGCGAGGAGGGGACACGTGTTCATGACATCATTTGCCCGTTTCCGATCTCGACCAGTTCAAGTCTTCTCAGCAGTGGCGGATTGATCTATGGTACAGCGAAGTGACCTTTCAGCGCATGAAGCAGAGCATCCGCCAAATGCTCCAGACCTACGAAGAGCGTTTCTCTCGTGCCCAGCGAAAAAAACGCCAGCGAAAGCGACGGAAATCGGGCGAGGAAGTGCTGGACACCATCGCGGCATCTTTTCCGTCAACACAGTCCTTACTGCCACGAGCCTATCAGCTCCAGAGGCAGCCGACGCAGCCCCAGCCGCAGTCCAAGCGCAGACCAGAGCCACGAGGTCCTCGTGGTCGTCGAGAGACGAAGCGGCCAGAAGGCCGCGGACGTAATTTTTTCGGGGACGATCTCAATGAGGCTCAAGGCCATTGCGTTGCTGAAGCCCTGAAGCAACCAATTCTACTGATACAAGGCCCACCTGGCACTGGCAAGACGCGCACCATTTGTCACATGATCCGAGAACTCCTGGACTTCGAGGCCACGCTCCTGACACCTCGCAGGATCCTGGCATGTGCCTACACCAATGCTGCAGCGGATGTTCTATTGAGGTCACTTGCCGACATAGGTGTGAGCGCTTTGAGGCTGGGAGTGCCCTCAGATGTCAATCTGAAGCAGTACACACTGAGCTACGCCATCAAAGAGAACCCTCTCATGAGACAAAAGTTGGATGAGTTGATCTCAGTTGCAAGTACTCTCAAAGAAATCCGCTCCAGTGACGTCTACTCTCATGCGGACGATGGCAATTTGCTCCGCACCTTCACCAATATCAAGGACCAGGTGCAGAAGACCTGTTACTAGAAGCGATGCACTTGTTCCTAGCAACGTCGTTGTTACTACTAGCGTGGCACCTGTTACTACTAGCGTGGCACTTGTTACTACCAGGTGCAGAAGACTCGGACCACGTTGAGGCGATCGACGCTGGACGCCGCGCAGGTCGTGGTGACCACGTGCATCGGCGCCGGCGATCCCCTCCTCGACGGGCTGGCCTTCGGCAGCGTCCTCATCGACGAAGCGTCGCAGGCGACAGAGCCGGCGACCCTGGTGCCACTCATGCGCTGCGCTGGACGATGCATCCTCGTGGGCGACCAGCAGCAACTGCCACCGGTAGTTCACAGCCCCGTTGCGCGGGATGGAGGCCTCGCAGTGTCTCTTTTCTCACGACTCATCCTGAGTGGCTTGCCAGTTCAGATGCTGCGGGTACAGTATCGGATGCACCCGCAGATCATGAACTTCATCTCCCAGCAGTTTTATCAGGGCCATTTGCAGTCCCATGATTCAGTTGCACGAGAATTGCTGCCGGGCTTTGAGTGGGAGAATGGGTGTCCGATTGCAATCCTAGACAGCAGAAAGCTGAAAGGTTCGGGTGAAAGGAAAAGCGGTTTCTCATTCACCAACCGCGAGGAAGCCAAATCACTTGTCCGAACTTTGGAAAACATCATGAAGTCTGGAAGTGTTCCAGCAGCTGACATTGGAGTCTACAGCCCCTATCGCGCACAGGTCAAGCTCCTTCGGCAGCTGATCAGTCGAAGTAAGCTGTGTCAAGCCATCAGGGTGTTGACCGTCGATGCTTCGCAGGGATCAGAGAAAGAGCTGGTCTTGCTCAGCCTAGTGCGCCAAAACAATGAAGGCAATGTGGGCTTCTTGAGCGACTGGCGGCGCCTGAACGTCGCCGTCTCGCGCGCGCGGCGGGGTTTGATGGTTTTCGCGGCCAGGGACATGCTCTGCCAGGATCAATACTGGGCCCCTTTGATTGCTCATGTTGAGTCTGCGGCAATGCCCCAGTAAACGCGCGCAGCCTCAGCCAGAAAGATCGGATCAAGCAGCCTCTATCAAGTCCACTTTTCCAGTCTTTGGATGTCTTTGATCTTGAAATTTACCTTTTTTTTCGAATGTCCACTGTCACAGACTGTCACAGACGAACGTGCGACTATCCCGTCTTGGGCGATCGCCCCCACCGGGAGACATCCTCACCACGCCGACCTCCCTTGCAGGTCCTGAAGCCCAAAGTGGTGATCATCCGCCAGGCCCCGGCGCCTTCGCATCCGAGGGCCGCGGTTGGGCGGCTGGGAGCTCGTTCCGCTCACCCGAGCTCGGAACCCGAAAACGCCCACGTCAGTCAGGTGTTTCGTTCTGGGGGGTTTACCTTTGTGCATCTTTTTTGTGCAAGGTTTTCCCGCGGTCTTTTTCCTCCACCCAAACCCGGGCCGTCGGGCAGTCGACGAATGGGCCAGTTCTGCCAGTTCCAGTCGTCCGTGGAACGGAGAAACCTCGAGGAACGGAGAAATCGATCGATGCTTTCTGCCCGGTCGGGGTCTTTTCCACATCCTGCCAGTTGAAGCCATGTCCACTTGATTTGAATCTCCTGAAATCATCACCTTGTGAAGGAGGAACATGGTCATCCTGTTGGTGCCATGCCATCATATGTCATCCACTAACATCATGACCATGATTCTTTCCGAGAAAGTCCGGAAGAAGAAGAACAAGAGCACCTGAAACCTCCTGCGCTCGCACACCGGGCTGGAATCGCCGCACCTCGTGGCGCCGTGCTGTGCCGCACATCGAATCGGGCGTCGCTTCTGCGGAGCGACGCAGGACACGCCGGGCCGACGCAGGGAGTGGGAGCGCTCAGTGGTAAAGACGTACTTGTTACTAGTTACTAGTAGCTTCTTGTTACTACTAGTAAGGCACTTGTTACTACTAGCGATGCACTTGTTCCTAGTAGCTTCTTGTTACTACTGGTGAAGACGAGTGTGAAGCCGTGAGTCTGCCGACCCTGGCGAGTGATCGGCCGACCTGACGGCATCGGCCTCAGGAAAGCTGCCCTGAAACGAGAAGTTCTGAAAGGCTCCTACCAGGACCGGGGGGGAAGGGAGGGGGGAAAGAGAGGGGGAAAGAGCTAGGGCCGCTAGGGTCCCACATTTGTTACCATGGAGATTGTTCATGTTTTGATTATGATTAGGTTTGTCATGATTTTTCAATCTAATTGCTCAGTTCATTTGGATCCTCGAACATGCAAGATGTTGTCCTTTAAGAAACGCCGGTCATGACGATTCTGTTCAGCTATCAAGTGGGAATTTTGAGAAGTCAAGCGCCAGCATATATTAATATATGGTTGCGAATATATTTCTGGATTTTTTTTCGTTTTTTTTTGGAACTTTTTTTGTTTTTCGTGCTTCGTGGCAGGTGCAGTACTTTGTGGACCTTGCAAAGCACATTTCGTGGCAGGTGCAGGACTTTGTGGGCCTTGGAGTGCAGAGTTTGTGGCAGGCGCAGGACTTTTTGTGGGCCTTGAAGTGCAGATTTCGTGGCAGGTGTAGTACTTCGTGGCCCTTGGAGTGCAGATTTTGTGGCAGGCGCAGGACTTTGTGGACCTTGAAGTGCAGATTTCGTGGCAGATGCAGGACTTTGTGTGTGTGGAAGTGTAGAGTCGAGTTGGTGGCAGGTGCAGGACTTTGTGGGCCTTGGAGTGCAGATTTCGTGGCAGGCGCAAGACTTTGTGGACCTTGAAGTGCAGATTCGTGGCAGGTGCAGTACTTTGTGGATGTTGAACTGCAGAAAGATAGAAAGATA